CACAAAAGGCATTTAATTGAATTGGACTATCGGCAGCAAGAAAAATACCTTGCCATGGTGCACGTTTGACATAACGCAAAACCCGATAAGCTGCCTCTAGGTGTGGTGTTCGTGGCTTATCCATGAACTGGCTTAGAGTGTGAACGGCATACACCAAGTCAGGCCGGGTAATTGTCAAATAGATTAGCCTCCCCACAAGCCTTCGATACGAAGACGGATCATCAATGTAGTTGCCATCATGTTTGCGAAAGGACAAATTCTGCTCCATGGATGAATCGGCTGGTTTTGCACCAAGCTGTCCTGCATCATCTAGTATTTCAAGTGCATACTTGCATTGTGAAAGGGCTATGCCTTTGCTAGAATGAGCAATCTCGATGCCAAGAAAATATTTCAGTTGACCAAGGTCTTTTAATTTGAATTGTTGCAGCAAGTATGACTTGGTTGCTTCAATGTCTTGTAAACTATTCCCTGTCAAAATGATATCATCCACATAGATGAGTAAGGCAGTGAATGTGTTACCTCGGGTTCGGACGAACAATGAATAATCTGCCTTTGCTTGATGATAGCCCGCTTGCTTAAGGGCTGTGGAAAGTTTAATAAACCATTGACGTGAAGCTTGCTTGTGTCCATACTAGGATTTATGAAGCTTGCATACATGAGTCTCCCCTTTTCGTCCGAATCCAGGAGGTAGATGCATATAAACATCTTCATCAAGATCACCATTGAGGAAAGCATTATTGACAACAAGCTGATGCAGATGCCAATGACGCGTGGAAGCAACGGCGAGAAGGAGGCGGACGGTGACAAGCTTTGCAACATGGGCAAAAGTTTCCTGGTAGTCCAAACCCTCAACCTGACTACAGCCTTTTGCCACCAAACATGCTTTATACCAATCAAGAGAACCATCAGGATGAAGTTTGACCTTGTAAACCCACTTACAACTAATGGGTTTCTTGCCGGAGAGTAAAGATTGAAGAGTCCATGTGCCATTAGCTTTGAGGGCAGCCAATTCTTGGGTCATGGCATGACGCCATTGAGGGTCATGAGTTGCTTGAACATAAGACGTGGGTTCTTTAACCGCTGAAAGAGAAGCACTAAAAACACGATGGTGTGGGGAAAAGCGATCATATGTAAGGACATGAGAGAGAGGATGTTTGGTACCTTGGGGTTCAATCGACGCCGAGTGAGATGATGGGAGAGACCGGGTAGGTAATTTTATGTTGACATGATACTGCTGAAGATAACTGGGCCTGGTGGTACGCCAAAGCAGTGGTGGAGACACCGGTGCAAGAGGAGATGGATGTGCTGGAAGCAAGAGATCAGGTGCTGGAAGTGCAAGATCAGGTGCTGGAAGGATAAAGTCAGGTGCTGGAAGCTCAATGGCAGGCCCTAGAAGTGTTTCCAGCACAAGGTCAGGTGCTGGAAACTGTGAACTAGGAGAACTAAGTACAGGAGTTGGGGCATCATCAAAATGGGTGGGATGAGAAGTTGGGAAGACAAGAGAAGAGTCGGTAGCAGAAGATGGAAAAAGGAAAGTAGTTTCATGAAAGATGACATCCCGAGAAATAAAATTTTTACCCGTATTGAGATCATAAACCCTAGAGCCCTTTGTGCCATATGGGTAACCAAGAAAAATGCAACGTGTGGCCCTAACATCAAATTTGGTTGGACGTAGATGATGAGTAGAGGCAAAGCATAAACAACCAAAAACCCTTAAGTGTTCATAGATTGGGGGTTTTCGAAAAAGGATTTCGTAGGGAGTTTTTCCTTTAAGGACTTGTGTAGGAGTGCGGTTGATAAGATATGTGGCAGTGAGTATGGCATCCCCCTAAAATTTCTTAGGAAGTTTGGATTGGAAGAGTAAAGCTCGGGCAACATGGAGAAGATGTCGGTGTTTTCTTTCGGCTACTCCATTTTGCTGTGGAGTGGAGACACAACTAGTGTGATGTAAAATCCCTTTATCAGAAGAAAAAAAAAGTGTCATTAGAAACTCAGGTCCATTATCACTGCGAACAATTTTAACCTGGTAAGAGAATTGTGTTTCAACAAGATTAATAAAGGTAGTGAGCTTTTGGCGTGCATTTGATTTGTGGTGCATTAAATAAACCCATGTACATCTGGAGTAATCATCTACAATGGTTAAAAAGTATTGTGCCTTAGTGATGGAAGGGACATGATAACCACCCCAAATATCAACATGAATTAATTCAAATGGCGCAAGTGAATTAATAAAACTCAAAGAAAAAGGACGGCGAGTTTGTTTGGCTAAAGGACAAACGAAACAATCATCAATGTCACAAAATTTCATGTTTTTAACAGAAAGTGAAAGAGCACCATTTGAAAGATGACCAAGGCGTTGATGCCAAAGTTGAGAAGAAGGAACAAGGGCTGAAACGGAATTGCACCCAGCTGTCTTCGCAGTATCAAGATAGTAGATACCTTCCCTCTCAGTTCCCGTCCCAATCATCTTCCCCATACGTCGGTCCTGAACAATACAAGATTCATTAGTGAACATTGCAAGACAAGATTAGCTTTTGGTGAGCTTGTTCACATAGATTAAATTTAATCTAAATGAGGGAACACAAAGCACATTATGAAGAATAAAATCATCCCATAAACAGATAGTGCCGATGTGGGTGACATTGACAAGGGCATGATCAGAAAGGTACACTTGACGATTAGAGACTGGAGTACATGTAGTCAACAACTTAGGCGAACAAACCATGTGATCGGTGGCACCAGTATCAAAAATCCAGTTGAGTCCACCAATGAAAGCAGAGATACATAAGGTGTTACCTGAGAGATCACTGGTGTTGGAAGTAGTGCTAATATAATTAGCCAAAATTGTGGGCTTGTTTTGATTAAGGAGAGCAAGGAAGCTCTGGTATTGTGTTGCGGTGAGGTTGTATGATGGAGGAGCTGCAGTGGCCACAGGAGTGGCATCAACATGATGGACCGAAGGAGAAAATGACCCCAACGACCTAGAGAGTCACTGTTGCCTCCAGTGGATTGAGCCTTCTTCAATTTGCGGCATTGGTCAATAGTGTGCCGACCCCAGCCACAATAACCACATTTAAGATGTTCTCGACATGTAGCAGAGGTGTGTCTTGTGGCATCACAACGTTCACACTTAAGATGAGGGTTTTTAGGTGAGAAATTTCCATTAGAATTTCGAGGACCATGAACAGCGAAGGCTGTGGCGTCAATGGTTGGTGTTTTCCCGAGGGCATGAGTAGAAACTGCCCGTTGCTTTTTATCCTGGGTAAAAAGGGAAAAAGCTTTGTTGACTGCAGGAAATGAGTCCATTAGTAGGATTTATCCTCGAACTCCAGCGTATACGTCATTTAATCCCATAAGAAATTTCATAGTCTTTTAGTGTTGGTGGAATTGGAACATCACTTTGGCTGCTCCGCAGTTGCAAGATGGAAGAGAGCAAAGTGCATCTCTCGCATCCCATAAGCCCTTCAACTTGGTGTAATAGGCACCAATGGTCATGCTTCCTTGAACGCAGTCATGAATTTCTTGCTCAATATGAAAAAGATGGACACTATTAGCGTGAGAGAATCGTTCCTTCAGATCATTCCATATGTCAGAGGCAACATCGTTATAAATGATGCTCGCACCAATATTCGAGGAGATGGAATTGAGGAGCCAGCTCTTGACGAGATTGTTACAACGTGTCCACTGTTGGAAAGTTGTGGAAAAACCATGTAGAGGCTTCTTGAGGGTGTCATTTACGAAACCTTCTTTGCTTTTGGTGTTGAGCGCCATGAGCATGGAGCGACTCCAAGTTGGATAATTTTTATCATTCAGGAGTTTGTGTGACAAGGACAACCCCTGGTTGATCAGAGTGATGGAGGTGGAGAGGATCATTAGGATCATCATATTTGGGTTGCTCAGGCTTGGCTGAGGCTTGAGAATCAATTTAGGGTTGCTCAAGCTTGGCTGAGGCTTGAGGTGATTCGCTGTCGTTGATCGCCATGGAGGTCAGCGAGAGGACAGGCTAGGGTTTGGGTTTCTGTAGGTAACCTTAGGCTACTAATACCATGTAAGATTTGATAATTCGTATGTATTGATAATGAAAATAGAATGAGGTACAGAACCTTGATACAAATACAATAGCCAATTAGGGTGCTGAAAACTAGCCTAAATGAATCATTCCTTAATATACATGTCTACATAAAAGGAAGGAAATAAACTAAATATCTGTACAGATCAATGATCAATATTCATAATCAATCACGTTGATTTAGTTGGGATTTTAAGCTCCTCAACAGTGACAACCGAAAGTAAGGTGAGATTGTCATATGCATCATTTCTTTTGCCAAATGACGATGTGGAAGTTGAACCATTTGATTACATGGTGAAGTCGACAGGGTCCGTTCGGATGTACAAGAAAGTCAGATTTGGAGATTATCTGAGGCAAGCGTTTAAGAAGAAAAACGATGGGAAGGCACACATTCAGACGGTGAAGATTGAAAGTTGATTAGCAGATGTTTTAATTTTCAAAAGCCATAGGGTAAAGGAGAAAGAAAAATTAAAACCAAGGCTTCCATCATAATTGAGTTATAAGTTTCTTATATTTTTATTTTATACACTAAACGTTTATGTAACTATTCATGCGTATGCATTGATAATTGCAGCTCAAAATCATGAAATCATTGGAAGAAATTTGGAACTTCGTGGACTTAAATAGTATCGCAATTATATATGATGGCCGACGGAAGTAAGAAAAAAGCAAGATCAAGGACATTCAAAGATTTTTACCTAACACTAACACAGTGATAGGCACGCGTCCCAAATCCCGGGGGACCCTACGGAGAGCTTATCTTTATTTCTCCTTCAAGCACTTTTCGTGGAAGAGACCATTTCTTAGTAAAGCAATAATAAAGCAACCCAATCCCCCTGTTTTTACCTAATACTCACCAAGATGTCGATGTCGATTGAACTTGGTAGAAGATAATGTCGGTTTTTCCATGGCCACAAATATGAATAAAGGTTACAGTGTAATCTAGAAAAATCCAAGAGATTAGTGACTGGAAATGCACAGCCAAGTCCACTGACTTTGGCTATGTAACAATTAACCAAAGAGTGGGTAGCAAATAGCTAACCTACCAAGAGATGTAAAATAGAAGACCAGTTAGCCTACCTAAATCAATAGAGATGCTACATTACTAGAAGGCCAACACTCCTCCTCCATTGAAGACAACTCATCTGAAACCTAGTTGGAGCACTAATTTTTTTTAGAACCGAGAGAAACATGAGTTCAACCCCTGATATGTTATTTGCACCAAATGTTCAAGAAATTGTGAGGAGTGACCCTTCGCAGATCCCTGAAAATTTCCTCATAATTAGGAATGAAGAAGAAGGCAAGTCAAATAATACTGCAGATGCATGTCATCTTTCTTCTGAGATTCCTATTGTTGATCTTTCTCTGCTCTCAAGAGGACACAAGGAGGAGCTTAACAAACTAGACCAAGCTTGCAAAGAATGGGGATTCTTTCAGGTGATCGTATCCTAAAAATAACTGCACCATATCTTTTTTCAAGTTATGATATTATAATATTATATATTAATTGTAGGTGGTCAATCATGGAGTGGCAACCGACGTGTTGCAGGAAATGAAGGATTCTACGGCCAAGTTCTTTGAACTTCCGTTAGAAGAAAAGAACAAAATTCGTATGCCGTCGGATGAGTTTCAAGGCTACGGCCAAGCCTATGCAGCTTCCCAAGGGCAGACACTGGACTGGTCTGACGCACTGTTTCTCGGTGTTTATCCATCCCACTTTAGAAAGCTCAAGTTTTGGCCAACCTCACCAGAGGGATTCAAGTAATGTTTCTAAACTCAACTTATAAGGGAATACAAAGTAGGCACTTTGTCAATTTCTTCTAATTTGAAAACACCAGTCCATGTTGATGATGTACAGTACATCATGTACTTGTAATAGAAATGAGATCTAATGATGCTTCGAATCTTAATGGAATTGAGTTTAATTTTATTGAAATTAATGTTTACTAACTTTTGAGAGTTGAAAATTACCCACACGCGCATGCAATTGAAGCTAGCTAAACTCAATATATAACTTCCAATTTATTGATATACATGTTGTGTTGATGAAGGGATGCTATTGAGGCATATTCAAGTGGAGTAAAAAGAGTTGGAGATGAGCTCCTAAGGTCTCTATCTTTAACTTTGGGGATGGAGAAGGATGCTCTTCTTAAACTACATCAAGAAGTGGTCCAAGTTTTGCGCGTGAACTACTATCCTACATGCCATATGCCTGATAAAGTCCTAGGTCTAAGTCCACACTCGGACACAGGGACCATAACCATACTCATGCAAGAAGACAATGTAACCGGATTGCAGATTAGAAAAGAAGGAGAATGGGTTCCCGTGAAGCCAATTCCAAACGCACTCGTTGTCAATGTTGGAGATGTTATTGAGGTAATTACAGTACTTTTTTTCTCGATGTGATCGTAACACTGTGGCATGGAATTATCAGCTTATTCATGTTATAATATTTATATATTTATTAATACTCTGATGGCGGTGTTATGAACCCAACCAAAAGTTTATCACTATACTATAATTTAAGCTTTATGACAGATTTTGAGTAATGGGAAGTACAAGAGCATTGAACATAGAGCTGTCACAACTGAAACCAAAGCGAGGATATCTTATGCATCATTTCTTTTTCCACATCCAGATGTGGAAGTTGAGCCGTTTGAACATATTGTGGAGGCATTGGGGTCTCGGAGGTACAACAAGGTCAAATATGGAGATTATCTGGGGAATTCCTTGAAGGGGAAACTTAAGGGCAAGTCGCACATTGAAACAGCCAAGATTGGAAGTTAATTAAGCAGATGCTTTGATTTTCAAAAGCCAGAAAAAAGAAATCAAGGTTCTTCATGATGACTTTGAGTGGGCTTGTTATATTAAAATAAGAAATAGCATCGAGCATTCCATATGATATATCAATAATATATATACTCCCACTTCTTGTTGTTTTTGTTTTTAAGGGCTAGTTTGGCATTGTTGTGCTATTAAAATAATCACTTTTAAATTTTTTGTGATAGAAATCAGTGCTAAAAGTGATGTGAATCAATTTTCTGAGTGTTTGGTAAACTATTATGTAAAAGCATTATAGTTATGTATAATGACTTAAATAGACATGATACTGAAAATAAATTTTTACTTAACTATTTAGTAAAGCAAGGCGAGGCTATCTTATGCAACATTTCTTTTCCCACATGATGATGTTGAAGTGGAACCATTTGATCATATGGTGGAGTCTCTAGGGTCCCTTCGGATGTACAAGAAAGTTAGATATGGAGACTATCTGAGGCAATCCTTGAAGAGGAAAATGGAGGGGAAGGCACACACTGACGCAGCAAAGACTGCAAGTTAAGAAAGATGGTGTTTCTATTTTAGAAAACCAGAGAAAATAAGAAGACTTAAATCAAGTCTCTAATGATCAAATCAGTTTATGTGTGGCTTTTGTAATACAAAAATAGCATATAGCATCAAGGATGCAGTTTTTGGTTTCTTGTCTATCTTAATAGTAAGCTTTCTAATTCAAGTAGCGAAAGCCAAATTATAGGGGATTATAATAAGGAAAAAGCTTGGCTCCTTAAAATTGAGGAGGAGCTCCTCCTTATCACCAATGTGGTTTTCACATGTGTCAAATTTTTTTTTTTTCTTTTTTGTTGAAACTTTGTCAACGCTGTTGGAATTTGACGAGTGTGAAAACTCCTTTGGTTTTAAGGAGGAGCTCCTCCTAAAGCCTATCATCACTCATTATTATATCCATTTCCTCATTTCTCTTTCCCCTGGTTTGCTAGTTTTTCTCTTTGCTGTTGTTTTTGTGCCAAAACCCTGACTGTTTGAGGGGATTGTTATACCTCCTTAGGATGAATTAGTTAAAGCATATTTTTAGCCTTAATTGATGCTACACTACCATAATCAAACTCATGTGGACATTAATTAAACCTCCAAAATCATGAGATGAATAATAATATTCAATTTCCAGTGAAATGCAGGATGAGACGGAACATTAACCTCCAAAAATAAATAATAAAAAAGAAATCCAAGTTTCTAACTAAAGTCAAAATACGTAGAAATATTAAAATCAGGGTAGATGAAGATCCCTTTAGCATACAAACAAAAACTAATCAGAGACCATTTACAGCTTGCATATTTGTTCTATCAGATCCTGGGTGCTTAGCAGTTAGAGTTAGATTTACAGAGATGGCTTCAAACCCCGATGCACCGGCTTATGGCTCATCTCTTCCAGCACCAAATGTTCAAGAAATAGTAAGGAGTGACCCTTTGCTGGTCCCTGAAAGATACCTTATTAGGAATGAAAAAGACTTGCCAAAGTGTGGAGATCATATGAGTCATCTTTCTTCTGAGGTTCCTATCATTGATTTCTCTCTGCTCTCAAAAGGGCACAAGGAGGAGCTTAAGAAACTTGACCTGGCTTGCAAAGAATGGGGATTTTTTCAGGTAATTTATCATATTGAATACATACATATACATATACATACATATATATATATATATATTATATCATATCTAAGTTAAATAAACTTTTCTGCAGATGGTAAATCATGGAGTGGCAACAGAAGTGTTGCAGGCCATGAAGGATGCTGCGGGAGAGTTCTTTGAGCTTGAGTTGGAAGAGAAGAATAAGATTGCTATGCCACCAGATGACATACAAGGCTACGGGCATACCCATGTGGTCTCAGAAGAGCAAATACTGGACTGGTCTGACTCACTGAGTCTCTTTGTTTACCCGTCCCGGTATAGAAAGCTCAAGTTTTGGCCAACCACACCAAAGGAATTCAAGTAAGTTTCTAAAAATCAGGGGAAAAACAGAGTATTGTTTCTTCAAATTTGTTAATACTAATTAACTCCAATGAAATATATTAGAATGTGAGCATTCAACCCAAAATCAATTGGGCATAGGTGAAGAGGCACAAGTTCCTTTAAATTATTATGCAAGGCTTTAATTCCCCGACATGGGATTCACACATGATCCACGGTTTATAGTCACTTATTTGCATGAAAGATTGAACTAAATTCTAATGTCTATGTTTTCAATAATTGTATTTGTGAAGGGAGGTTATTGAGGTGTATTCTAGTGAAGTTAAAAAAGTTGGAGAGGAGCTCCTAAGGTCTCTATCTATAATTATGGGGATGGAGAGGGACACTCTTCTTGGACTTCATAAAGAGTTGCTCCAAGCTTTGCGGGTGAACTACTATCCTCAATGTTGCATGCCTGATAAAGTACTAGGTCTAAGTCCTCACTCGGACAAAAGCTCAATAACAATACTTATGCAAGAAGACAATGCGACCGGGTTACAGATTCGACAAGCAGGAGAATGGGTTCTGATGAAGCCAATTCCAAATGCTCTCGTTGTGAATGTTGGAGATGCTATTGAGGTAAAGAAAGAGGTTTCAAAAAGTTTTATTGGGCAGAAAAAGAAAACTACAAAAGAGAACAAGGTTTTCTAAGCTTCTCATTTATTCTTTTGATGACAGATATGGAGTAACGGGAAGTACAAGAGCATTGAACACAGAGTTGTGACAACCGAAAGTAAGGCGAGATTGTCATATGCATCATTTCTTTTGCCAAATGATGATGTGGAAGTTGAACCATTTGATTTCATGGTGGAGTCGACGGGGTCCGTTCGGATGTACAAGAAAGTCAGATATGGAGATTATCTGAGGCAAGCGTTTAAGAAGAAAATCGATGGGAAGGCACACATTCAGACGGTGAAGATTGAAAGTTGATTAGCAGATGTTTTAATTTTCAAAAGCCAGAAGGAAAAGGAGAAATAAAAATTAAAACCAAGCCTTCCATCATAATTGAGTTATAAGTTTCTTATATTTTATACACTAAAAACTTTTATGTAACTATACATGCATATGCATTTGATAGGACCTTCACCCCTCAAGATCACATAATACTATCCCATTTCCTTGTAATAGCTTAGACTCCTTTTCCGTAAAGTTAGGAAGGCTGCTATCCTCCTTTCAGCTGGCTAGCCACGTGTCTAGGCTAGTGGAATTGTATAAGTACTCAGTAGTCGAGTACAGAGGTTTTCCTATGAATGAAAATGTCCTCCTTTTAATTCCTGAAATTCCTTCTTTACTGTTTTTTAGCTAAGGGTCCTATTAGCATTGATAATTGCAGCTCAAAATCATGAAATCATTGTTGGACTGGTCTGACGCACTGTTTCTCAATGTTTATCCATCCCACCATAGAAAATTAAGTAAGGTTCTTCGTGATGACTCTGAGTGGGCTCGTTACATTAAAATAAGAAATAGCATCGAGCATTCCATATGATACATCAATAATATACATACTCCCTTTTGATGTTGTTTTTGTTTTTAAGGGCAAGTTGTTTTTGTTTTTAAGAGCAAGTTTAGCATTGATGTGCTCAACATTTAAGTACATGTCTTTGTCATTTTATTTTTATTTATTTTTATATTACTCCATTTACTTAAGTTTACAATGTAAATAAGGAAGTACCCCCTATTTGGATTCAAATAAAAATACTAGAAAATCAAATTTCCACTAAATCAAAATATGAAAAATCGGTTTTAGTGCAAAATACGATTTAGGCTAAAAATAATGGCTCATTAAGTCAGTATATACTTCATACTAATCCCATAAAATTAATCTTTCTTATTTGATGTTTAAGAAATAAAAGCTGCCAAAATTATCTTCAAAAAATGATTATTGCTAAAAACCATTTTTCATACTTAGTCTCAATATTTTTACATAAAAAAATTTGTCATGTATGATTAGTCTCAAGCAACTGGCCCTTGTTTGGAAGGTCTTCTTCTATGTACGCATAGCTCACATTCTTAGCGAAATTCTATAGTGAGGGTGTCATTTATGAACCTTTTATGTGAATCTTCATATTAGAGCCATATCACTCTATGAACAAATGCCACCTACTAATTAAAGATGGTGTATTTAATTGAGATTTGAATAGATTGTTTTGAAGCTTAAAGTACAGACGATATTCAATTATGATTTTTAAGTAATCAATAAAAGTCGGGTCCAATTGTGTAATTAATGCTATGAAAATAATCACTTTCAAATTTGTTGTGATAGAAATCAGTGCTAAAAGTGATGTGGGTACAAAAATCAATTTTCTGAGTGTTTGGTAAACTATGATGTAAAAGCGTTATAGTTATGTATAATGACTTAAATAGACATAATACTGGAAATAAATTTTTATTTAACTATTTAGTGAAGAAAAGATTTTCACTTTCATTTATGCAAAGCTTGTACCAAAAAATTACACACCCCAAAAATATTTCAACTATTAAATAATAAAGGCAAACAAATAACAAGTTGTGAACTTGTGTACTGCATGTTTGCCACGTATTGTCCAGCCTCAAATGTCTTTAAGCTTCTGTTTCTCAAATGCATTCATCATTGGCAACGTTTCTGATCTTCCTTCCTCTCTCCCTTAATAAATAAATAAATAAAAGAACAGAAAATGCCTAGTATTCTTTGGATCGAGATTGGGCTGAACAATCCTCAGCTTTGTTATTCTTCCAGATGACATATCATTCTTCTTCCAGGTTCCTCTGCTATACAGAGCTTTTTCTGAGTTTGCCAAAAACAGTTGAGTTCCTCTCATCATCCGAATCATATTTTTCTGTTTTTGTTTTTGTTTTTGTTTTTGTTTATTGGGCAGTCTGTTTTGCAAATGGAAAGATGTGGGAGTCTAAATAGAATCTCTTTACCATATTATTATTCGATAATTGATGTAATTTGTTTAAATTGATAAGGATATTGTTGGCATTTTAGAAAATTTCATTAATGAAGCAATGTATCACCGAACAGAGCAGGTATAAAGCAATGTCTTCTTATAATAATAGAACACACCTTTAAACAAACATTTCTACCTAACACTCACAATTATATAGAGAACATATATATAGTGTATCTCCCACATGATCTGCACCCTAACAAAAATATACTAAATAAAGTAACGTAGCTCAACCCTCTTATTCTCCTCCTCCATTGAAGGTAACCCATCTGCAACCAATTGACCTGGAGCATTTAGAGCAAGAAAGAAACATATGAGTTCAAACCCTGATATGGCAAGTGTTCAAGAACTGGTCAAGAGTGGCCCTTCGCAGGTCCCTGGAAAATTCCTCGTAAATAGGAATGAAGAAGACGAGCCAAAGAGTGATCTTTCTTCGAAGATCCCTATCATTGATCTTTCTCTGCTCTCTAGAGGGCAGAAAGAGGAGCTTGACAAACTGGACCAGGCTTGCAAAGAATGGGGATTCTTTCAGGTGATCATATCCTAATTGGTAGCGTTATGTACTCCAAACTGAATATTTTATAATTTTTATGACCGCGTAGAAGAAGTGCGGTGCATATCTGAACTAAAATAACTTTATCATATTAGCATTCATCAAACTTATGTTGCTAGAGAAATGTTTATATTTGTCAAACTATGACCACCCAAATTCAGGCATTTCTCATGATGCTTTGTGTGTGATAGTGTTTGAGTCAATGGACATATTTCAAGTTAAATATAAGTCAAACTTTGCATGCACAGGTGGTGAATCATGGAGTGGCAGCAGAAGTATTGCAGGAGATGAAGGATGCGACGGCCAAGTTCTTTCAACTTCCGTTGGAAGAGAAGAACAAGATTCGTATGGCATCCGGTGGGTTTGAAGGCTACGGGCAAGTCGATGGTGTTACCCGAGGGGAGACAATGGACTGGTCTGACCAACTGGTTCTCACTCTTTATCCAGCCCGATACAGGATGCTTAACTCTTGGCCAACAGAGCCAGAGGGATACAAGTAATGTTTCTAAACTTAACTCAGAAAAAAGTGGAAAGTTTTATTAATTTCTTGAAATTTGAAAACACTAGCTAGTGGCATGTATGTTCATGTACTACATTCTACTTTATTATTTTTGGAAAATATTTTTTGAAGATGGTTGACTAATCACAATTTATATGGGCGTGAACCTCAAATACTTGCGAGTATCACATCAATCAACAATTCAAAGTCGCCAGCACACGTGCTAGTGATAAACTCTAATTAACTTTCAATTCTTTGATAAATGTTGTGTTGTGTGGATCATGATGAAGGGAGGCTATTGAGGCATATTCAAGTGAAGTTAAAAGAGTTGGAGAGGAGCTCCTAAGGTCTCTATCTTTAATTATGGGGATGGAGAAGCATACCCTTCTTGAACTACATAAAGAGTTGCTCCAAACTCTGCGTGTGAACTACATTCCTCCATGCTCCATGCCTGATAAAGTACTAGGTCTAAGTCCACACTCGGACGCAAGCACCATAACCATACTGATGCAAGAAGACAATGTACCCGGGTTACAGATTCGAAAAGAAGGTGAATGGGTGCCGGTGAAGCCAATTCCAAACGCTCTCGTTGTGAATGTGGGAGATGCTATTGAGGTACGAATTAATGCTAATTCAACTATACAAAAGAAGTGCATTATTTTGTTGAAGCTTCATTGTTGTTATTGTTATGACAGATATGGAGCAATGGGAAGTACAAGAGCATTGAACACAGAGCTGTGGCAAACGAAGGCAAACTCAGGATATCTTATGCTTCATTTCTTTTCCCGCATGTTGACGTGGAAGTTGGACCATTTGACCATATGGTGGAGTCTTCAAGAATGTACAAGAAAGTCAAATATGGAGATTATCTGACGACTGCCTTGAAGAATAAACTTAAGGGAAAGGCACACACTGAAATGGCGAAGACTGGAAGTTGAGCAAATGTTTCAATTTTCAAAAGCCAGACAAAAGTTAAATCAAGTCTTCGTTGATGACTTTGAGTGGCTTGTTAATAAAACGTCATCAAGCATGTTGATTTTGATTTTTCTGTGGCTGTAACAATTTGCAGTTCTCCCTTCTTCTTTTTTATAAATAAAATGAATCTTATGCACTTTGTGCCATTCCAACTTCAAGCTGCCAAACCCCAAATTGTTTTCTGCTCAGCTATGAAACAACTAACAAAATGTGATAATATGCAAAGCAAAAAAAAAACGCTTGAATCTAAAGAGAAATAAAAATTGGTGGGGTAAGGGGGAATGGAATGAAATGACAACAAAATATGTGATGCAGTAAACAGGTTCCATGAGCTAATTTAAGTGACAAGCTCCCCTTGGCATCATTATGGCACTAGAACTGCCTTGAACATTTGCAGCTTCTGGTGGAGGACCTGCACTGCACCTAGCAGCAAAGGAGGAGTTTCTTTCATCTCGCGGTATGGGGGGTTTCTATCAGCAGGATTTGGAGCAAAAGCTCTATGCTATGACAGATATGGAGGAAGTACAAGAGCATTGAACATAGAGCTGTCACAACTGAACAAAGCGAGGGATATCTTAAATATGCATAACTTCTTTTGCCACATCAAGGTCTCGGATGTACAAGAAGGTCAAATATATGGAGATTATCTGGGGAGTTCCTTGAAGGGGAAACTTATGGGGGACGGCACACATTGAAACTACAAAGATTTGAAGTCAATGAAGAAAAGGATCCGCATCTATTTTGAAAGGGAAAGCCAGAAAAAGAAGATTAAATAAAGTTTTTCATGATGACTTTGAGTGGGGCTTGTTATTCAAATAGGAAATTGCATCAAGCATCCTATATATATGCACTCTTTTGTGGGTCCTTTTGGTTTTTTTAGGTGGTTAACACTATCAACCGTTGGATTAATCCAATGGCTGTCATGATTTTGGGGCTCACAGGCACCTAAAAGCGTTCCCTCATGTGACCTGGTTGTATTCATGCTTATTTTTAGTCCAAAATATATATGATGGTTGCAGTTTTTTCAATCAATGATGAATATGAAATTCAAATTTAGAGCATTTTGCTAGAAAGAAAAGTATCATTAAATTAATAGCTCGTCTGTAAATATACATACAATTTAAAAATTATAACACAAAAAGAAAAGAAATTTGCATTATACTCTATACTTTATGGAGTTTAATATTATTGGCCATGCACACCGACAAGAGCAGGTGATCAAATGTTTTCTCATGAAACGTTTAAACAAATATTTCTATCACTATCACAATTATAGAATATATAACAATATGTATACATATAGTTTATCTCGCACATGATCTGCACCCGCAAAAAAACAAATCATTCTCCTCCTCCATTAAAGGTAACCAATCTGCAACAATTGACCTGAAGCATCTAGAACAAGAAAGAAACATGAGTTCAAACCCTGATATGGCATATGTACCAAATGTTCAAGAACTGGTAAAGAGTGACCCTTCGCAGGTCCCTGAAAAATTCCTCATAATTAGGAATGAAGAAGACGAGCCAAGAAATGATCTTTCTTCCAGGATCCCTATCATTGATCTTTCTTTGCTCTCTAGAGGCCACAAGGAAGAGCTTGACAAACTGGACCAGGCTTGCAAAGAACGGGGATTCTTTCAGGTGATCATATCCTAACATGTACTACAAATTGAATATTTTATAATTTATGCTCACCTCGTAGGAGTGATTAAAAAATGATACTGAAATCACCCGTGGCCTATCCTAATTAAGATAATTTGTTTATTATTTTTCGTTAGACTTACGTTGTTGAAGAAATGTTTATATTGTCAAACTGTAAATGTTGACCGTAAAAAATCAGGCATTTTTCATGATGATTGTTTGATGATAGTCTTTGAATCAATGAACACTTTTCTTTTCTTCTCTTTTTGGGTCAAAAAATGAACACTTTTCAAGTTACATATAAAGTCAAACTGTGCATGCACAGGTGGTGAATCATGGAGTGGCAACAGAACTGTTGCAGGAGATGAAGGATGGGACGGCCAAGTTCTTTGAACTTCCATTAGAAGAGAAGAATAAGATTCGTATGGCATCGGGTGAGTTTCAAGGCTACGGGCAGCTCTTTGGTGCTTCCCAAGTGCAGAGAATGGACTGGTCTGACGCACTGCTTCTCAGTCTTTACCCAGAACAAAACAGGAATCTTAAGTTTTGGCCAACAGAACCAGAGGGATACAAGTAAAATTTTCTAAACTTAACTCGGGGAAAAATAGAGAGTATTTTTAATTACCCTTTAAGAGTGTGAACCTCTAATACTTAGGAGCATCAATCACATCCATCAACGGGTCAAAGTCACTCATATATATGCAAATGAAGCTAGCTAAACTCTAATTGACTTGCAATTTCTTGATAAGTGTTGTGTTGATCATGATGAAGGGAGGTTATTGAGGCATATTCAAGTGAAGTCAAAAGAGTTGGAGAGGAGCTTCTAAGGTCTCTATCTATAATTATGGGGTTGGAGAAGCATACTCTTCTTAGCCTACACAAAGAGTTGAGCCAAGCTTTGCGGGTGAACTACATTCCTCCATGCTCCATGCCTGATAAAGTACTAGGTCTAAGTCCACACTCGGACACGACCACCATAACCATACTCATGCAAGAAGACTATGTAACCGGATTACAGATTCAAAAAGAAGGGGAATGGGTGCCGGTGAAGCCAATTCCAAACGCTCTCGTTGTGAATGTGGGAGATGCTATTGAGGTTAAAAATGGTACTTGAACTTTATTAAAGAAGTACAATATTTTTTTCTAAGCTTCATGTTCTTATTGCTGTGACAGATATGGAGCAATGGGAAGAACAAGAGTATTGAACACAGAGCTGTCGCAAACAAAAGCAAAAGGAGGATATCTTATGCTTCATTTCTTTGTCCGCATGTTGATGCTGAAGTCGAACCATTTGATAATATGGTGGAGACATCAAAAATGTATAAGAAAGTTAGATATGGAGAGTATATTTTTTCTTCCTTGAAGGGTAAACTTAAGGGGAAGGCGCATATTGAAACGGCTAAGGCTGGAAATTGAGCAACTGTTTCTATTTCCAAAAGCCGGATCAAGTCTTCCTTGATGACTTTGAGTGGGCCTGTTAATAAAATAACATCAAGCTTGTTGAATTTCATTTCTCTGTACATGTAAGAATATGCACTTATCTCTTTTGTTTGATAAATAAAATAAATCTTATCCACTTTGTGGCATCGATAGTGCACTTCAAGTTCAAGTTGCCAAACCCAGATTATGTTCTGCTCAGCTAAGAAACAACAAAAACCTTGTTTTCATTAATACCAGGCTCAACAGCTAACAAAATGTGATACTATGCAAAGCAAAAAACTTTTGAATCTAAAGAGAAATACAAGGGGTGGGGTATGGGGGAATGGAATGAACGGAATTACAACCGAGTGTATGATACAGTAAACTGGTTCCGTGAGATGATTAAATAGAGGCAACAAAAACAGCCATAGCTACATTACTAATTTGTCTGAGAGCTCCCATTGGCATCATCTCTGGTAGTAGAACTACCTTGAACATTTGCAGCTTCCGGTGGAGGACCTGCACCTAGCAGCAGAGGAGGAGGAGTTTCTTTCTTCTCGGTACCAGGGTTTTTATCTGCAGGATTTGGAGCAAAAGCTCTAAGACGAGGTTCAAAAACCTTGCTTGCAACATCAGGTGGTGGTGCATCTTCCCCTGGAAGCACAAGAAGCCCATTCTCACGAAGAGAAGATGGCTCGTTGTAGCAGGCATTCCAGAGGGAGTCTACCAGCTGCCTCTCCTCTTTAGCTGCCCCAAGATCTTCAGGAGACATTGAACTAATACCTTTAATTCGCTCTTGAAGAAGTTGCTTCAATTTCTCATCTTCATCAGCTAAACCACTAGTGGACCCATCAGTTTTGTCTCGAGCAAGCTCAAGAAGGCCCCGGAGTGCAGCTTCTCGTACTTCTAGATCTTCGCTAGAGGCAAGGTGCAACATTATGCGTGGAAATCCTAGCTCACTTACTACATTGCAATCAGAGCTATTCTCGTGCAGTAGGAACTGAATCAAATTCAGGGCTTTCCTGAAAAATGGTTAATTTTCAAAAGAAATTCATTATTGGGACACTAATTGAGGCAAAAATGATGGCATATAATATAAACATGTGAAGATTTCCACATATATGAATTATTCAATTTCATTAATTTGTTTTAATCCCCCAAAAAAAACATATTAACAAAATGGCCCAAAGCAAAACGTGAACTGAAGATATAACAAAATCCTTGTAACACACAATTACCTCTGGAATCTCACATTGTCAGAAGATAAAGCATCTCTCAAGGCTGCATAACCATTTGCTAGACGAAATGCAATGCTACCAGGCTTGTTGTGCCGGATTAAAGCTGAAAAGGCCATTCATTTGCAAATCAAAAGATACATTAATATTCTTTCACGACAGGGCAAAACTAGAAAAACACAACTACTTACATGACTAAACAGCAAACACAGTTCATCATAATACCAAAAGCAGTACTTACAGGAAATTGCGCCGAGAGCTTTGGTTCGAACAGTCACATCAGAGTCGGATGTGAGATTAGAAAACAGATATTCTAAGCCATTTGCTTCCATGACCAATTGTTGGCTCTTGGGGTTGTTCTGGACAATAGTGGTCACAACTTCTGCAGCCTTTGCTCGGATATTAGCATGGGAATTCTTCAGGTAACCAAGAAGAGGGACCAAACCGCCAATGGAATGAAGATCTGTGACAAATTAACAGCCAATGTTACAACGCACAAGACCCAAATATCAATATGCAAAAGAACACACAACAAATAAGATGATAGCAAAAGTCCAGTTCAAAGAGAAGGGTCAGAAATTTTACCATTGGCCATGTCAATAGACTCAACATGCTCTTGCAACTCATCCAACAAATCTGACACAGACCCCAAAAGAAGTACCAACAAAGTTAATTATATGTTATAAATTCAAAACAAAACTTGGAGGAGAATTTCATATTTTATTAAATAAAAGGAGACAAACCTTCAATATCAGCAGGAGTAACTCCTTGAGCTTCCAAAACCTGCTCAGGAGTTTGCATTACAAGTGTTATCTCCTTCATGCGCTTCACAACGTCAATACTCTGCGATTGCATCGCTTCCATAAACCATCTCCTATCCTCCTCGCTATAAAAACACAACCAAAAGCCAATCAATTTGGTCTCTAACATTCACACACATGCTTTTGAGTATTTCTATACATTGATTACAAATAATTGCGTAATTAGTATGATTTTGGGGGCGCGGAGAGAAAAGTACCTCAAATTGCGATTGGGGCGAGTGCCATCAGAGTGAGCGAGGCTCCATTTGAGCAATCCATCCCAGTTGGGTCCGTCTTTTGCCATTGTTGCTTCGTCTTCAACAAAACCAAAACCCTAAAAAACTCTGCCTTCCTCTCTGCTCTGCTAATGGATGAAGAAACAATAAATTACAAAGGAAACGGTTTAAAGCACCAGCAGACTTATATAGGAATATAAGTCGACATACAACGCTCAGACTTCAAGTTCTCGAAACCACTCGACAGTTCTGGAACTCTAGTTTACACACTAGAACTAAAAGGAAGACACGCAGGCGGCTGGGCGCCGAGCTGCCCGGCCTATGGGCCCGCAAGTTAGATTAGGTTGGGCTGAGGTTTTAATAGGGCCAATAAACTTTGTACTAGTCTTTCAGTCTTCGGTGGAAGGCCCAATTCTGTTGAATCATGGGATTTCTTGTTCCCTTTTTTTTTTTTGTCACCAGTTGTGTATATTAAACAACTGCTGGCGTCAAAGACTTAAAATGCGTTTGGATGAGAAAATTTAAAAGTACAAAGAAATTTATAAATGACAGAAATTAATGTTCTATAATTTAAAAATTTTCTTGCTTGAGTAACGGATTTAAAATACGAACTTTAAGCTTTATTTGTAAAGTTATCTTTTTTAAAAACTCAATCTCTCTTGGAATTTTAAAAATGACAACTTTTAGATATAATTTAAAGTTGAGATTTATGTCCTCCAAATTTCATGTTGTTTCCCACATAAAATTTCTAAATTTATGTGTTTTTTTATATCCAAACATAGGAATTGGTTCATGTTAATTTAGAAATTTTAACTTTTGTCAAAATCCCAAGTTTATTTCCTTCATCCAAACACACCATTAAGATGTTGCATTACATACTAGTGGCGGCGCTAATAATGTATATCAAGTTTTCGCTCTGCCTTACGTGTTGCTAGAGAGGCAAACAAATAAAGTTATAATAACATTAATTATGCTACGGTCAGTCATTCACACGCACATGAATAATTTATGAATGTAAATCAATCTCGGATCCACATTTGATCCAGTCATAATGGACAGCAAAATCTAAGTCTCAACACTACGTGGTTAGAATATGAACTAACAAACTATACCAAACTTAATGTACACTACAAGCAATCGGTGATGGAGGATAATTACTGGCGGAGAGTGACCTCTAAAACCTAATTCAGTGGTTGGCTGTCAGCAAGATTTGCCTCAGGTTTATTAAATCCCTATCTGTTTTGCTAATTTTGCGTTTATTGGACGGAGTTTAAGTTGGTAAACACAATACAACGTGCTCCCTCGCATGGTGTTGGCAATGGCCACTTCACTGCACCAATGATTTGGCTCCACAAATTGAAACCATTAAAACAATACAATAGTGGTGCAAACGTGGAATATTCTGTCTTCCATAATCAAATGTTGTCTTTTCGTATGTGGTTGCTAGTCCTACTAGCCACTAGGTAGGGTCCATCCCCTCACTCCATAAAAAGCCTTCATCGGTGAGCTGTGACATGTAAACAAACTCACACGACATGTCGTTTTTGTCGCCCAATTGCAACGCCAGTCAAACGCCTTTTCAAAACGTTCGCGGAGACCTAGACCTCAATATGAGCCACGGCGACATTGTGTTTATGTGTGTCCGTCCGTCACACCGCGTATCAATTATTTTTGTAAGACTAAATTTCTTTTTCGTCATTAGATTTTATACGAAATTGTAATTTAATTAATGAGAATAGAATTTTAGTTAACTAATTCGTGTACAACTCAACATTTACAATTTATAGAAATTTCGTTATTTTCTCATTGTGACAGAAATTTTGAGAATACCGTGACCTATACTTTAATGCCGCCACTCTTCGTATTTACTTAACCAAAAACTTTGAATTATAATTTGCCTAAATTTATTTTTTAGTGGTCAAATTAAAATTTCGTATAAATTACTAAAACTATTTTAAGTCCTTTCGTCTTTTCCATTTTTCGTTTATTGATTTGATTTTCGCTTTTTGAGGTTAAAATACATGTACTGTGTACAGCTTAAATGCCACGCTTTAAGGAACGACGCGCTACCTGCACCTCCTTTTAAAAGCTTCGTATTTCCCATTTTCACTTTCCTCTCTCTCTCTCTCTCTCCCCCTCTTGCTCTCTGCTTCACTTCGCCTTCGATTTCACTGAACGATCTGAGCTTCTGAAAATTGGATTGCGTTCGTTCTTGATTGCTGGGCTTCATTTTCACTTCAACAAAGATTCAATCTTTTTCCAATTTCGGAAAATAAAGAAAGGGCCTTTGCCTCTTTGCCTCTTCGCCTCTTTCTCTGGTCTTCACTGTTTAGGGTTTCTGATAGCTTCTGATGGCTTCCCTGGGCTCCGCCTCATACTGGTGCTACACATGTAGCCGATCGATTCGGGTTCGGATCCGGGCCCAAGACTCGATCCTCTGCCCCGATTGCGGCGCCGGATTCATCGAAGAGATCCAGACCCCGACCCGATCTCCTCTCCACCACCCATTCCCCACCGCCGCGATGTTCCTCGACAACACTCCAATTTCGCAGAGCCCGAGCCCACCTAATCTCCGCCGGAGCCAGAGAAGCAGCCGCGATCGCTCACCGTTCAACCCGGTTATTGTCCTCCGAGGCCCACCTGACACCGAATCCGACCCGGGAAGCTTCGAGCTTTACTACGATGACGGAGCCGGTTTGGGCCTCCGCCCTCTACCGTCGTCCATGTCGGACTTCTTAATGGGATCGGGTTTCGACCGGCTGCTCCACCAATTGACCCAATTGGAAAACGGCGTCGCACGGCTCGACCACCCTCCGGCGTCGAAAGCCGCCATCGAGTCCATGCCCGTCATCAAAATCGCTGACGACCACGTCTCCACCGAGTCGCACTGCGCTGTTTGCAAAGAGGCGTTCGAGCTCGACTCGGAAGCTCGCGAGATGCCCTGTAAGCACATCTACCACTCCGACTGTATATTCCCATGGCTTTCGATTCGAAACTCGTGCCCGGTTTGCCGCCACCAGCTCCCTACTGACGTGCGCGGGCCGCGTGGCAGTGGCAGAGCCTCGCCGGAGAATAATGGTGTGGTTGGAGAAGAAGAGACGGTGGGGTTGACTATCTGGAGATTGCCCGGGGGCGGATTCGCTGTGGGCAGGTTCACCGGAGGCAGGAGAGCTGCTGAGCGTGAGCTTCCAGTTGTTTACACTGAGATGGATGGTGGGTTCAATACGGCTGGTGCCCCTAGGAGGATTTCATGGGCTTCTAGAAGAAGAGCGAGGGAGAGTGGTGGGTTTGCTCAGGCTTTTCGCAATTTCTTCTCCTTTTTTGGGAGGCTCAGAAGCTCGAGAAGCGGGTCTGGTAATGTGTTTAGTAGATCATCAAGGAGGAGAAGCCAGCGTTGGGCTTTGGAAGATAACTGATTGAGGTTTAGTGTTTTATAGTTATTGGGTTCTGATATTTTGATTACATTGTGCTGATGTTGTTGCTGAGGAAGGGAAAGTTTGTACATTTATCGTTTGTTTGGTGTAAATAGCAATACATGACAGAGAATTGAAGAGTCTCTCAATTGGGGCTCTGTGGAAGAGATGGAAATTTTGAATTTGGTAGAGAGACTAGGGAATCAGTTTTCGCACATTTGGAAGGAGGAGGAGGAGGAGGAGACGTAAAGCCAAGGGATTAAAGTGGTGGCTTGGCAGCATTGGAAAGTTAGCAATGGAGAGGTGGTACAAGGCTTTCTGTTGTTGTTTGTATTACTGCTAGGACTTAAAAGGCCTCGCTTGTTGCAGAATTGCAGGGTTACAGTGAATTAACCTAGATGCCGGTGGCTGTTTTTTGTTCTTTTTGGTTGTCTATTGTTGTACTTAGGATTGTTTTGATTGTTCTCATTTTTATCCAAAGTGATTACTGGCTCTCTTATTTGATGTTGGTGTGCTGCATTTATTTTCAGCAAAATTTGATTTGGGATGCAGTTGGATCATGTGATTAATTTCCTAACATGTGAAGTAAGTTCCAGTTGGGAATTAGGCCATCTTCATCGTCACTCAGAATTTTGCAGTTTCTTCTAACCAATGAATTTGCGGTTGTTAATTTGATAATTCCAAGCACATTTTCATGAAATAAAAAGGAATTTGCTGGAAGCACACGCATCGTCTCTTTTAAAACGAATTTCGGCCTGCTCAAGCAGCTAACCAAATGCTTCAGAAACGGCAAAAAGATCTGGTCTTTGATCATTGTGTGATGGTATGTATTTCTTCATGGCCAATTAAGTCCTTTTATGCCTAGTAAATTCTACCCTTTGTTGCATGTGAACTGTTGATGAGCCATCGCAATGGAAGTCTTGTGCCATCGTGCTCCTCGTTGCTCATTCACAGCAATGCAAGTCTTTGGTTCTCTAAGTCATGGTTAGGACTTTTCACGCGGCACAACCTGTTGGAATATGGTACTTCATCCTTTGCTCGCTCATTACCCACAACCCGTTCCCCACCATTCGCTTGCTTCAAGCCACCAGTTAGTCTCAGCCAGCTCCTTCTTGCCCCCACCCTATTAAACGAGTGAAGTCGGCGTGGACCCAGCCTTATCTTTAAACCCACAAAAATCTTGGGTTCTTATTGGCCCTACCTATCCATTTAGAATGAAGAAAACACAAACCAAAACACCCTTTTTCACAACCAAGCTGAGAAAATTGAAATTACCAGATTTCAACAGAGATGGGATCAATGTCTTCTCCTCTGACTATCATTTCTGCAGAGCCACTGAAGCAACCGGTTGCGGTCGGCCGCAGCAGCCCCTCTCTCTTGACGACACAGGCAGGGTCAAAATCTCTGTTGTGGAAGTCTAGGATTGAGAAGAAGAGAGCATTGACTGTGGTTGCTGCCATTGGAGATGTATCTGCTGATGGCACCCCCTACCTGATAGCTGGAGCTGCTGCAGTGGCTCTGCTTGGAACTGCCTTCCCAATTATCTTCTCCCGCAAGGACCTGTAATTAACTAACTACACTGCTCTCTCATTTCATTGACTCCTCTTTTTATAAAATCTTTTTGAGTTGTGTTTGCTGTGCTCGTTTTAGGTGTCCCGAATGCGATGGGGCGGGTTTCGTTCGGAAGTCAGGGGTGACCCTGAGAGCTAATGCAGCACGGAAGGACGAGGCTCAGATTGTCTGTGCTCGGTGCAATGGCCTTGGCAAGCTCAACCAAATCGACAAAAGATAGATCCCTCGTTTTCTTTCTCTGTTTTGTAACTTTGATCTCGCTCTGGTGCTGTCAAAGCTTATAAACAGCGTTTCTCTTTTAACACTGTCACGTGAAAGAATAAACCTTTTCTTTAGTTTATCACCATGGCCTCGAATATGTTGTTCTGTAACTGTAATTTCACATGAATTCAAGGCTGTGCATACATACATCATGTTTACTGTGATAGTTCATATGATGCACTTGTATTCACAGCAAAGCTAAGCTAGCAATATCACGGGGCAAAACTACTGTTGTTAAAGACTTTTAACTTAAAGTTGGCTTGTCAATATTGCTGCGACTGTCCTCCATGTGATCCCATACCAACTGAACTGGATCTACTTCATCTGGGAAATTTTTTGGTTTGGCAGTCGGACCGTCACGTAGGTTACCAATTCACATGTTAAATATGGGTGAACAATATGTTGATACTAGAGTATAGCATTAAAAATATATACACGTATTATAATATAAGTGAAACGATAATATTGACATATGGTGGAAGCAACTTGCTATATATGTTGTCTATTTTCTTTTTTTGAGACCTATTTCTTCTTAGGATATAATTTTTTTTTCTTATAGAAACGATACTGAAAAATAGAAGAATTCAACAGAGGACTTCCGATGGCATGAATGAATATTATATAGAATAAAAGAGGTGAACTACAATTGCAAAGTAGAATGTTTCTTTTCATCCAAAAAGAAAAGGGTAGAATGTTTCTTCGTCTAAGGAAAGTTGCTAAATTGGAAAGGGAAAGGAACGACCTTGACCATAATAAATATGTTGCAAAAATTGTTTCAATTTCCTTTTCAGAATTACCAATCAATTATTTTCTTGACACAAGCAAATCAATTTCGTCATATAACCATATGGAGTCTATGAGAAACCAAATTTCATTAGTAATAGTATACACACAGCCTGAAGTTCGGATCGCATTGGGTCTTTGCTTCTTGGTCATCAACCCAAAATCTTCCAGCAGCAAGAACCAGCCCTACTAATCAACTGACACGTGCACGTCTTGATCCTTGAAGGGTCTCACAGCCACATACGTACAGCAATATGCACGCTGTCATCTCCAAAAACCACGGATGCACAAGCAGATGGTGAAACCAAATACAAATCTGACAGAACAAGTTAGTGCCAATCTTCTTGTTGTCTGTCTTTGTTTTGCATTTGCCCTAGGTTGTTTTTTTGCTTAATGCTAGGAGCTCAAGATTAAGTGTTTGCATGCATGCCTAATTGGGTTTGATTAATATTAATCAAGGACGATCGAAAGTGATGATGAGTTGGATGAAGTTGGACGAGGATCTTGGTCCCGATCGTGGGGATGACAACTTCCACACAGATGATGAAGAAAACCAAGCACACAGGTCTTGTGAGCAATATGAAGCCGATACTGAATCCGATATCGTTAGAGCTCCCTCAAGAAATCTGTCCCAAAACTCCATTGATGTTAATACGAATGCATGGCCTCAAAGCTACTGGTAATTTCTTCATAGGCTACAAGACCATATGTATATAAATATGTGTGTATAGTATTTGCTTTCTTGTAACATGGTTTGTCGATGCAGATAAGATTTTCATATTGCTAAACTGTGAATATGTATCACGCATTCAAACAATAATTAACATATATTAGCTAGCTTTTCGTGTAGTGTTTTTTTTTTCAAAGTTAGAAGTTCTAAGTTCGAATCCGCATACCTCGACAAGAATTAACCTAAACAATGTCCAAATTCACCATATCCTAACATGTTTTTCTTCATTTGAGTTTCATGATAAATTTTAAGCCTAAATGTGATATTATATATTCTTAGTGATTGAACCATTTGGTAACAGAAAACTAAGAAACAACTTCGTTTTTTTTTTTTTTTTTTTTTTGAGGACCTTTTTTATGGAAATGGGCGATAATATACTAAACTCACACACACTATATAGATGCTAAGACTCGAATCCATGACCTTTCTTGAAAGGAGCAAATGCTCTAAACCACTACACTAGTGGGTCTTTTGCAACTAAGAAACAACATTAATAAGTTGCCAACATCAAATGTCTTGTAATGTGTCCTTCAGTCGACTTTTTCCTTCTTGAATATGTGCATGCAGGCAATCGATTGACATGTACACAAGTGTGACGCCTCCTTCCCTGGGGTTCCTAGGCGCGGCGAGTTTGAATTCTTTGTCTACACTTGACAAGCGGCACTCAATATCTGATTCTGATTCAAGCACCACAAGGCTACTCATTTCTCAAACCAGTTTGGACAAAGAAGTGCCCCCCTCACCTTCCCAAGCTGCCAAATCCTCCATCTACTCTTCCTGCGCCTCAAAAGGCTCCCTCCCCGAATTGCCCCCACCCAAGGAACGCTGCTGTTCATTTTCCCAAGCTGTACTCAATGGTAATAACAATCAATTTTCATGGTAGATTAATAGCAGAGAATGAGTTGCCACTCTGCAGTTTCTAACAGAGAATTTCATCATTTTATTATGCAGGAACCAATGTTCTATGTGGGATAGGACTTCTTACAACCCCATATGCAATAAAAGAAGGAGGGTGGTTGAGCCTTATACTACTTGCTTTATATGGTGTCATCTGTTGCTATACTGGAATTTTGTTGAAGAGATGCTTAGAAAGCTGTCCCGGGCTCCGAACCTACCCGGATATTGGCCAGGCTGCTTTTGGCTCCACTGGTCGTTTTTTCTTATCTGTAAGTGTAACTTACGATGATAATGCTTATGTTGTCAGACTATGGATTCAATAGTCCAAGATTCCATCGTCTTGTGATTTTTGGATTCACATCACAAATTTATCATATGAGCCATGCATGTTTCTATATGTTTGAAGCAACACTGACACTTGGATTTGGGCCATGCAGATAATATTGTATCTAGAACTATATGTAAGTGCACAGAACCCTTTAGTTTCCTCTATGCCTCCCTCTTTCTAATATACATTAAAAGTTAAATGCCTGTGTGATGTAGGGTGCTTGTGTGGAGTTTTTGACCATGATGAGTGATAACTTGGCCTCAGTATTCCCAGACACCCAAATGACACTTGGTGGAATCCATCTTGATAGCCATCATATCTTTGGCATCACAGCAACTCTTGTAATTCTTCCAACTGTATGGCTTCAAAACCTTAGTTTGCTCTCTTACCTCTCAGGTTTCATATTCTGATCACTTATCTTAATCTATATAAATCTTTATGCTTTCAATTTCACAATGTTGAACATCTAAGCTCTAGAAAAGTTGTACAATTGAACCAATGTTTTCAGTTGGAGGAGTGGTTGCATCAATCCTTGTGGCCCTTTGCTTGCTGTGGGTTGGGGTGGTGAACCAAGTTGGATTTCATCACAGAGGACCAGCTTTAAACCTTTCAGATATATCTGTCACAATTGGTATCTATGGCTTTGGCTTCGCCGGCCATTCGGTCTTCCCAAATATCTATACCTCCATGAAAGAACCATCACAATTTTCAGCAGTTCTAATAACCAGGTGAGGTGACCAACATTGGCTTTATTTAAAATTATTTTTTTCCTGGTTTTAAAAATGTGACAAAGTATTTGACATGTTTCTCTGCTGCAGTGTTACATTTTGCTTTTTCATATACACTGGGGTAGCAGTATTCGGCTTTCTAATGTTTGGAGACTCCATCCATTCTCAGTTCACTCTAAACATGCCCACACAGTTTGTTGCTTCCAAAATTGCAGTCTGGACAACAGTATGATTTAAGAAACTTGGTTCTGTTTTTTCCATGGTTTCTTAGTTAATTTTTTTTTTTTTTTGGCATATACATTGATTATCTCTTTCCTTTTTTGTCTCTTGATTATGCAGATTGTGAACCCAATGACAAAGTACGCCTTGACAATGACACCAGTGGCTTTGAGTGTAGAGGAACT